ATCAGATTTTAAAAATTGTGAAGGGCGGATTGTTATTGGATCTACCATTTACCAAAGAACAGCTACGATCGAACGTACGTACATGGCGTATGAGTAACATTCCCATCTCTTCTGGGTAACTCATACGCCATATACATACATATGTACCATCTATTTGAAAGTAATATCTACCTAACTAAATATGTTTGTATGTATATTTCATAACGGAGATGTCAAATTAAAGAACTGGACATGTAGATGTGCAATAAAGTTTTTGAAGTTATAACTTTTTTTTTGTCGATACAGAGTTATATAAAATTTTATGAAAAGAACAACCGACACCATGCGGCACCTCTCTTCACTCTGAAACGGCTGGACGGATTTACATGAAACATTTAGAATATTAAAGGTTTTTAATAGGGTTGCCACCTGTTCAAAAGCTAAATTAACACCTTGCAGATACACAAGTATTACTTGGTTGTCCCTCCAGAATACGTATGTAAATATTTAGTAGAAATAAACTTATATTTTCTTTCGTTTAATGCTTAATTAAATTTTCTACATATGTCCTGATACACCCAATGAGCGTTTTAAGGCTTTTCGAGATTAGGTTTATATGGGAGCTATGCGTTAAAATAAGCCGATTTCACGATTTTTTTAATATATTGTCAAAAATTTCGACGTGAAATTTTCATTGGTGCGATTTTTATGACATTTTTAGTCCATTTATGAGTTTAGGCTCATATGAAAGGTATGCTTTAAAATAAAACGGGCACGCCAATTTTTCTTACCATTGCTGATTTATGCGCGTAAAAATTGCATATGAAAACTTTATTCCCTACGCCAACTGCTTCTTTTATTTTTTTTCCTACAAATATATGGGGATCCCCCACAGTGCGGCGGAGGAGACCACAGTACTATGTACGTATCCAAGTATGTATTTACATATATATGTATGTATACATAGTTGAAATGAAAACTCCAGCTTTGCGGCTAAATTTCAATTTTTATTTTTATTATAATTTTTCTGCTGCTCGGCATTCAAAAACTTAATGGATTTTTTCAGTCTTCTCGAAGGGTTATTTACTGAAGAGCTGCATTGCCGCAATTTTTCGGCAAAGTCGCCAAAATTTTTGTTTTTAGTTGTTATGCTTCAAATTCAAGAAGTGAACTAAGAAAGTTGTTAGTAGAAATCAATCAACGTTTTATTAACTTACATACTATGAGTAAATGGTTCAACTGCGCAGAAAACATTCACTCCATTCTGCCATCTTTCGATCTTCCTTGAGCTGTCATAATTTCTACTTCTTCTTCGTGAAAATTTTCAAGCTTTCGCTGGTTCGAAGTTTTAGCCATAGTTTGTTGCAACGAACATTTTTTGTTTGCATAGCGTTACAGCTATTGCTTTTGTTGACGTTTAAGTTTTTTCAACCACTGCCGAGTTACTCTGCATTCGGCTTATTAAGAAGTTTTAGCTAAAAAGCTAATTAAGTTGTCAGTCAAAAAGTTGCGAAAATCATTCGGTTATTTTTTTTTTCAATTATTAATTATCGCTGCTTTTTAGAGGTTCTTCCGTTGTTAAACTCTATGAATATTTATTCAAATGCCAATTAATTTATATAATAGGGGAGACCGGGGTAGCTCCTGCACTTTTTTGAACTCCCATATCCCAAAACATATTCAATAATATAATAAGTAAAGAACCAAAGAAAGATTTGATTACAGATTTGTTCTCTGGATTAAGTTGTAAGGTTATACTCCTTTTATTAACCGACTTCACAAAAAGGGGAAGGTTATCAGTTGGTCGGAATATATATTTTTGCTTTATGTATGTTACCGCATAACTTTGGGGCCGATTTCGATAATACCTTTTTTAAAGGAAAGGTGTTACCTCACATGTAGTCCCATACTAATTTGGTTTAAATCCGATCATTGGATCATGCAGAAATTAACGATAATCTTAAATTTTTATATGAGAATTCAAGTCGATTTTGTTTTTTGCTTAAAAATTACTTTTTTATTTAATATTAATTGTTGTCGAATTCATAAAACCTAAATAAAACCCTTAAAACAGGGACTTTAATATTTAATAATATAATATAAATTATAATAATATACTGTAATATCTAATATTTAATTATTATTTTAAGATTTTAGAATTTGCGATCAGTAATAATAACAAATAAACGAACAGTCAGTGCATTCGTGCCTTAGCGCTCACTCCACTCTTGACCGTTATAATTTTGAGAAAATAGAGCACTTGTTTTACTTGGGAACCAGCACTATTTTGGACTGTGTAGGAAATTCGGGAGTAAAGCCCTCTCTTGACGTACGAAAACCACACTCTATAAGCCACTCTTCATGCCCGTGCTGGTATATAGCGCAGAAGCATGGCCATTGTCAACATCCGAAGAAGCGGCTTTTGGCATATTCGGGAGAAAGATTTTACGAATGATTCACGGGCCTTTACGCATTAGCGAACTATGAAACGATGAGCTTTTCAACGTTATGGTTCTACATAGTGCAATGAATTAAAATACAGCTACTCTACTGGCTTAGCCATTTGGTTCGAATGGAAGCCGATGCTCCAGCTCTGAAAGTATTAAACTCGAAACCCGCTGATGGTAGCAGAGGAAGAGCAAGGCCCCCACTGTGATGGAAAGACCAGGGGGAGAAGTACTTGGCTTCACTTGGCGTTTCCAATTGGCGTCAGTTGGCACAAAAGAAAAAAATGGCAGGCGTGCTTTGTAGAACTCGGCCAAATTCGCTTAGATGGTTACAGCGCCAAATAACAAGAAGATCAATAATAATAATAAATTTATGGGTTTTATTTAATTTTTTGATCAAATATAAAACAAATTTTTCGTGCTTTAGTTGTTCGCTCGGAAATAAACATTATTTTATGAGTTTAATTTGTTTTCCCGAAAAAAATAATGTGGGTGTTTACACTAGCCTGATTATCAGGTTATCTGATTAAAGATTACACGGTGCTACAAAAAAAAAGTAATGAAGTACAACCGAAACAAAACCTAGGTAGGTTGTAGCTGTAGTCGAGTACAATATAAAAATTAATTTTGTATAATTTCTGAACCATCCATTTTTATTTTATTTAAAAACAAAAGTTATGTTCGTACTTGATGTACTTACATATCTATTAACAAATTGACTATTTTTCATCCGACTTTAAAAACAAAACATGTTTTGAGAAGAAGATTTATAGACATTTGAAATAATGTATAGCAACGTATTTTTAGACTTAGCTTGTGAGGAGTTTTCACCGGTTAAACTTTAACAAACCACTACTTTTCTTAATTTTTTCAGCTTTGACCGTCGCTGATTTCAAATATGACTATGAAAGTGGCTAAACATGTAATGCAATTGCATAAAAATTGTCGAAGTTAAGCAAAAATACGGCCGTGAATTTATTTGTGTGTATTTGCCGGACGTTCAGATTTTTTAAGTAGTGTGGCTAAGGAGTTAATTAATATTAGATATAGGTTTTGTTTCGGGTGTCATGACTTTTTTTGTAGCACCGTTATTTTTCTATAGCGTATTTTATTGTTGTAAACTGAATAAAATATAACCACATAAATAACCTGATAGCCAGCCATTGGTTTTTGATTTTTATTTTTTTTCATTAAAAATAAAGATTTTTAAGTTATATTCTTTTGATTGAAAATAAGGCGCATTTCTTGAGCGGTATTTTATATCTCAGAAACTAGTTTTTAAGTTTTTTTTTTGTTGACAGAACATATCACACGCCTTTGATCTACCAAAAAAAAATGATTTTTTTCGGAAATTTATCTTTTCGATCGAGCAAATTAAACTTTAAAATATTACGGTGCTACATAAAAATTGGTTGCATGTACTTTTATGTCATGTAGTAGAGGTGGTAGAACAGGTCTAAAAACTAATTTTAGCATTAGCAGCTTTTTAAATACCACCCCATAAACCTAAGTTATGATGAAAAACCCGAAAATGTAGATGTTGGGTCAAAACACCGGTCATAAATTAGACATTTTTCAAGGTATTATCTTATTCGTGGAAAAGCGAAAGGTTATGTCTTTTCAGTTCTTTTAGCAAATTTAAGTTTAATTGATAACCATTGATTCCGTGAACCAAAAAGCTTGAGAAAAATCCGAAAAAAATATTTATGGGGCTTTGACTTAAGATTACACCCTATAATCGTATTAAACCCATGCCTAATGCTTTATCCAAACCAAACTATATTTTTTCCTGACTATACAAAAAAAATTTGAGCTATAAAGATTTTTCTGATTTCGTTATAGCTGCTTAAAAATTCACGTATATGAGAGGTGCCACGCCTACTTTTCAGTCATCAGTTAAAGTCGCATGGAATTTGATTCAGTAATTTCGCAGACTAGTGTGTTCAAACAGACAGACAGACAAAAATTGTAAAATGGTCCGAATATATTTTGTTACATTTTCTGCATCACCTTCGGGCATTCTTAAAAAAAAATGCAATGTACAAACACGACTTTTCTAAAGTTTTATTATGCGGTGCTTCTTTGGAAGCATCTAGATATATGTACTGTTTTTAAAAATACATGAAATCTGAGGCCTATTTCTGAATGAAAAATTGAGAATGCCTAAGACAAGCACAGTGGCATCGTCGTACGCAAATACAGCCTAGGGAGGGTGCAAGCCCCCTAAATTCCAAAGTTTCACTATTAGTTTCCTTCTATGCATTTCACAATCAATTTTCAATTCGAACAATTAAGGCTATAAATGAAAATGTGGTTCAAAGTTTGAAGTCGGTTAAAAATAATAAAATTTCGAAAAATCTATATTTTTCTATACAAATGTGAATTTCGTTCCATAAAAAAATTGAACTTTTGTTAACTGAGCACTGAAAATATAAATATAAAAATTAACTCTTTATCCCTTTAAAGAAACCTAACAGGCACACATTTTCGGTAAGGCAGCTCAAATATTTTGTACTGCTCTTTTTACTCCACCTGGTACAATTCCGCATACATAAATAATACAAAATATTTTTTTTAATTTTTATTTTTAATTGTTAAATACTAACATCATGGCACAGAAATACATTTTTCTTTTTTGTTAAACTGTATAAACAAACTCAGCAACAATTTCTGTTGGCACAGCATTGCTCCTTGGGTCCATTCTTACAGCAGCAATTGCAATCCTTATCACAGCAACAATTATCACCGCATTTAGTGGAGGTACATTTGCAGGCTGAAATAACAAACAAAACGAAATAACAATATAAGATACTCGATTTTTAATATATTTAAGGAGGATTAATATTTGTTAAACATTTTATAGTTTCTTAAAAAAAAAATAATATGTATTTAAAAGATCACTAAATAATTAATAATAAAATATAGGCCACATTTTTATAATTATGAAGCACTACTTACTGTTTATACATTGTTTGCAGACCATTTTGTTTTTAAGTTATTTGCTTAGCTACTCTTTTTTTAAGTAAATAAATTCCTCTTACTTTGTGTTTTTCTCAAACTCTGATGAGTGAATGTTGTTCGGTGAGAAAACAAACTTATTTTTATACCTAAACTGACCTGCTCAATATGTACATGCATGTAAACAAACGCAATCTTTTCTAAACCGTCGTCGCCGTGTGCAAAGTTAATGAGTCTACCTTTGGTGCTTTTGGCACTCTTTTATCAATTATTTTACAGATAACCTTTTTGCACACTGCTGTTTTTACGATCGACGCTAAACGAAATACCGGACTTTTGGTAGCGCTCTGGAAGGAGACTTCAGTAATAGTATTAGTAATATTATCAGCGTACGCAATATTAAGCAAATGACGAATGTAGATGACTTAGCTCAAATTTAGTTTAACACTAGTTTATAGATATTTAGTACATAACGATGATGAGCTATAACGAAAACCCCACTTTTCTGGGTTCTCGTGGAGTTGTTGCCGAAACTCTTAGGAAATATTAAGTTGTTTCTATTTATTTTGATGTAGATATTATACTACACTAGAAGTCGTATGACGGCAAAACCATTATCAAGAAATTGCACATAATAGACGATATTTTCCGAAATTCTTCGAAAAAATCGGTAAATTAGCATATCTTTTTCCGCTTACAATATTTCATCTAAATCCGTCCAGAGTGCTGTCGCATGGTATCGATTTTTCATTTCAAAAACTTCATCGCCAAAACTGTGTTTCTTTATTTTTGAGAATAAAAAAGCATGTATAGGTGCATTCGAAAACGTCAATATGCCAACCATCATTTTATTTCTGAACCGCACTATAAGAAAATGTTTAACTTTCGCAACCTACATAGTTGAAAACTAGCATCTCATGGTAGTTGCGCATATTTGGCATTAAAATCTACTCAGGTTTAGAATAAAAGAGACTGACGCTTTGTATTTTGACTTTTAAAATGCACCCAATATTTGTGTTAGTTTTATTCAGTAATAACCCCAAAAATATGTATATAAACATATATATGCTATATCATACAGGATATAACATATTTAACAAAATTAAAAAGAAAAAGTAAGGAAAACTTGTCTATTGCAAATTGGTCGAAACGAACAATAGAGCTTCCTAAAAAGTGGTTCGGTCTTCGGTTCGGATCAAAAATGTATGGAAAATTTCGGTTCGGTAAATGGGTTAGTTAATTAGTTAGTAAATAAAGGTTAATAAGGTTCAAACCGGGTTCAAACCGGGTTCACGTCCCTGGTATCAATTGAGATAGGCCTCCCTGCCTTTTTTAAATTTTTTGTGCAGCCTTTTTCGAGACATCCACGTTTGAAAGAAAGTTTTTTTTTATGCTAATAACTTTGCGAAAAATGGGCATATTGGAATCATTTTTTTAAACGATTTAAAAAAAGGAGGCCGCTGTGGTGTAGTGGTAAGCAGTGCGCCACAGCACCTGGGTTGAAGCCCTGGTCAAAGCAACATCGCAAAAAAAAATATAGAAAAAAGGTTTTTTCTTAACAGCGGTCGTGCCTAGGCAGGCAATACCCAACCTCCAAGTGTATTTCTGCAATGAAAAACAGCTTCTCATAAAAATACAATCGCCGTTCGGAGTCGGCGTAAAACTGTAGGTCCCTCCGCTTTGTGTGACAACATCAAGGCGCACGCCACAAATCGGAGGAGAAGCTCGGCCAAACACTAACATATATGTAAGCGCCAATCTATTATTATTATTAAAAAAAGGAGGAGGTTATCAATTCGTTGGCTTTTTATGCATGCTAACTACTTAACCAATTTCGACACCTCCATTTTTATTATGAGGCATTTCATGTCACCGCGGCCACCTCTGTGCGTGACCTCTCAGGATTTGGATGAAAGTTGAAGAGGTTGAAGGTCTAGGTGACCTGAATATACGTGCAGTATATTTTGAAGATATGACGTAGGGTTGCCTATTTGCACGGAACTGAAATTTTAAGAAAACGTCATACATATCTTTCCTTAAAGTGCCGGAAGCGCTTTAACAAAACTTAATGAAAAAAATGTATTTCTTACGTCTTATTATGGGCTTTAATTGTAAATTTTTTACATTAAAATAAGTAAACCTTTTTCTTTTGATTTTTTTTTTATGTGTATACATCTTTGGTTTCGGTATGGGTAAAATTTGCGAAGCTGTAAGGCATATCCCAGCACAAAATTTCGAAGGGCTTAGCATGTGTATTTCAGCAAAAAAAATTTATTTTCATTAGAAGCACCCTGTGTTCGCTTGCCAAATGGTTGCATACATTTAGGAATATGCATAGTAAGAGGAAATGCGATACAATTGATTATTAGCCGTCATCGTTAGCATGTGTTGCTTTCACATGCAAAATTTTTCGTTAAGCGACCGGAACTCAAACATAGCGAGCGAGAAGTGGCGAATCGACGACGGCATGGCATCCTATGACACCCACAATGCACAAGATACTAATTCCTTATTAACAATAGGACAATTATCGGGGAGGCTCAAGAGGCCCACAACAAACACTACCGAGAAAATTATTCCCAGAAGTTTTCTCGTGAAGTATGTAACCGTGACATATATAACCGGCTGTTGATGAGCTCGGACTCGTTTTTAAGCAGTATTTCGGTTCATGACCAAAAAAAGAAAAAAATATCAAATCGTTTTCCCCAGACACAATAAAGCTGCTGTTACCCTCTAAATCCGTTGTCAAAGATGTGACAAAGGAATAGTTTGAGGCCAGCGAAGATTCTGAAAGCGAAAACTAATTAACCAATGATAGTGTACACACATTTTATAAATAAAGGTAGTCAATATATTTAACTAGTAAATTATTGGCTAATATATATATTTTATTAATATAACCTATCTGTAATACAAATTATTTCAATTTTACATTTGATAAACAATTTTGAGTAGATAGAGGCAATAAAATATTTTTTGCCGCATACAACTTGAAAATCTACCTATATGCGGTGTTTCCAAGATATTTTAACGCCCTTGAGTCACAAGTATATACAAGTCTATTTTATCAATCATACCGATAATGTCATGTATTGAAAGAATTAAAAATGAAAATGAATAAAAAAATTAAATCAGCAAAATGAATAAATTAAGTGAAATTAATGTTTAATTTCTAACCTAACCCACATTTGTATGTGTGTAACTGAATCGCCTTTATATATAAAAATATTATCCTAATTTTCGAGCTTGACTCCCTAATCTGTTATTAGAAAAAGAGATTAGCCATGCAAAATTATAACTAAAAATATCTCAGATTAAACCGATAACTTGTTGGTGTCCAACCTAGTTTTATCGATTATACTTGCGAAGAAGAGGAGGAATGTCAAATGTTAAAGTAAACAAAAATTGACGCTAGTAAGGAAAATAGGTTTGTAAAGGTATTTTTAATAAAATATTCAGTTAAAATATATTTAAATGGTCTAATATGTGTTGCAAAAAAAAAGTGACCACGGTGGTACATAGAAGAAGTTTAACTTTTCCTCGAGTTGTGTGAATAACAAGCACAACCAATTTGACAGCTAACGAGCTTTGATTGAGATTATATTTATATGTAAACGTACTTTTATGCTTTGCCGTTCGCATATGTATACACATCAAATTTCTTGAGTACCTAGTACTCACGCCTTTTTTTCGATTATAGCATTTTTTTTAATTTTTATTTTTACATAAAAACATTGTCTATAATGTTAACTTTAAGTATCCAAATGGACGTAATGGGCTACTTAGGCGTATGGACTCTAGATCGTCTAATGCTCGAGCAATATGATAAATAGACATTGAAATTTTATGAAATTCTAAAAAAACAAAAACAATATAATAAATCATATTAACTTTACTAAAGGTCTGAAATCATGAAAATTCCTTCAAGGAAATGGCAGAATTGAACTTTGTTGCAAGTTGATTGGAGGAAATTTTAAGAGACCAGCAGCTGGAGCAAGTCTTCAACTCCTGTTGTTACAACAAATTCGTACACCCGAAGCCCTCCACCAATGCTGTATGCTTCCAATGGGATGCCTGTATAAAATAACTGCAACTAACTGTACAGTGGACTTTATTTCGACTATGACCACGTGCAAATTACTTTAACCTATTTTAAGCTAGTTTAAAAGGTTAAATAACATCAAGTTAGGGAACTTCATATCCTTATTTAACGAATCTTTAAATCAATAAATAATTTTTTTCTTTTTAGTTCTTATTGTAATAAAAACGTGTTGTTGGTTTTTTTTCAACTATAATTTTATTACTTATTTGGATTATTTTTTACACACCTTTCCGTTTTTTTTGTTTTAGCGTTGTTGTTGTTGAGTGTTTTTGATGTTAATCCTGTTGAAGTTTCGGTTTCATTGCAAAAGAATATTAGACCTCCAATGACAGCTTCAAGGTTAGTCCTTTTATTAAAACAAGAAAAAGGAAATACACACCTTTCCTATGACGTTTTCTTAAAATTTAAGTGCCGTGTAAATAGGCAACCCTACGTCATATCGGCAAAATATGCTGCACGTATATTCATGTCACCTAGACCTTCAATCTCTTCAACTTTCAGCCAAATCCTGAGAGGTCGCGCACAGAGGTGGCCGTGGTGACATGAAATGACTCTTATGGGAAAGGTAGTACCTCAGGGGTGGTCCCATAATAATTTGGTTTAGATCCAATTATTGGATCATAAAGAAACTATCGGTAACTTTTCTATAGCAATTGAAGTCGGCTTTGATATTTCTAAAAATTATTTGTTTGACTTTTGGTTTTTAAAACAGTTTTGGAATATACCTAGGTAAAATTAAAAAAAAATTTCAAAACGTTATTTCTATAAAATTATAAAATTTTTAATATAAATTGTTGATTTGCAAAAAAGACGTACTGATCTAGTCTCTTCAAATTTTATTCTAAAACACTGTGGCTCACTCCGCAATTTTTAGCCCTGTGCGATAATGGGATTGTTTTACAACAAATTTTATGCAAATCGCAAATGTATGGGCATTTAAAAAATTAACGTCTTATTTCAGAATCGATATCTTGACAACGTTTGGACGAAAAAATAGTCAAAATAAGTCAGGCCTCTCTCGGTTGGTAGTATAACATAAAAAAATTATGAAAAAAATCGGAGGTGCAAAAGTCGAATGGTGTTCGAATTGGGCTGGAATGCCCCATATGTTCATAGTAAGTCAAATCAAAATATTTTCAAACTAAAGCTTTCTTAAAACTCTTGCGTTTGACATCTATAAATTAATATTTGATATCACTTGGGTATAATTTAGTTAAATTCTAATTTTAAAACAGGTGGCAACACCCTATTCAAAATATTTTCAAGCGACTGCCTTGTTAAACCTCTTTCATCTGGTGATACATATTTCAATTACCTATTTCGTAGAATTTAAATTTAATTTTTAACAGGTGGCAACCCTCCGAAATTTAGTTCAGAAATAAATATTTAATTGATTTATTTATTTATTTAGATTGATTTTTTAAATTATTTCATTTAAATTTTTTTTTATGTTGGCAACCCTTTTAGAAACAGTAAGACTTTTGTTACACATCCTCAGCCTAAGCCCTTTAATTTTGCACCTCATCCCTTCGCGTGTTGTATATTTACATGTGTAGTTAATATGTATATAGATATTTGAACATACATACTTAGTTACACAGATAAATATGCCTTTTCCGAATAGCTGGAAACCCTTTACATACTATAGCTTTTGTAAAACTCTTTCGTTTGACACTCATAAATTAATATTTCATATACATAACTTGTGTATACATACTTAATTTAACTAAATACGACTTTTCAAACAGGTGGCAACTCTCTTCAAAAGTATTTCCATGCTAAAAACTGCTTCAACCTCTTTCATCTGACGTTCGTACCAAAACCAATGATTTGGTACATTGGTACGTTGACTTTGATTTTCGTACTTTTCCATAAAAGCGACAGATCGGGAAAACAATATTTATATATTTCCATATATTTTAAAATTTTGCTATATTATATTTTTATTTTTCAATTAAAATTTCAGTAATTTAAACGTTATTTAATACAATTAAATCATCAATATGCAAAAGTAATTGCCAGGCCGTCAATGTCAATTCTTGTTCAATTTGCAATAAGTACAGCAAACACAGTCTCCAAGGTTAGAGAAATTTAGATTTCTACATTAGATAACTAGGGTAATTCTCTAATCAATGTTGATTCGAGGTCGAAGTTAGAGAACTACATTAGAATTCGATGCGAGAACGATTAGAGAAACAAGCAAAATTAAAATAAATATAAATAAGCAATATTCCAATCTTAAATCATTTTTAAGTTCAAATAATTCATTATTATTTAATTGCAAATACATTTAATGCAAATTTTACAAACAACTCGTTTTATTTCATAAAACAAAACAGCAGTTTGAAATGCACATTCGAATCCCATTAGAGATCAACATTAGAATTCGATTAGAGAATTAATATTTTATGTCCTATTTTTGTTGAGACCGCTATGATTCTCGATAGTTTTTCGAGTCGTTCGATAACTAACCTCAATTTTCGCTGGGAAGACGGATGAGTTTTTAACGGAGAGACGGAGCAGTAAGAAAATTAAATTAATTTAAATTTATTAAATTTGTGGTTTGTTTGCAGATTCATTATTAAGAGGGAAAGGGCGAATTACATTAATTCAGCTCAAGAAACCTCAAACGTAGAAGGCATCTCAGAAACGTACATAAGTATATGCGGATTTTTATAAAATATCTGAAATTTTTCTATTTTGAACTATGTAGATATTTTGTAGTGTTAAAAAGAAAAGAAAGTTTCGAACTGAGTGGCTCACCAATTTTGCATGTATTCCAAAGACGGTTCAGCTTTTTGTGAGGTACATGCGCAGTGGACTACAAAACTGCATACTCAAAAAGGTTCTAAAGAATTGAAAATTTTAATGAGAATTTATTGAATTTCCTGAGTTTTGAACAGAGTTCAGAAATTATATTTTTATGTTTCTTGTTATGGTATGAACTAGAGCTTAATAAAAAAAAAAACAGCAGAAAAAATTCGACATTATGGAAAATTTTAGTATTCTGAATATATGTAGTTCCTCTTAGTTTGTGTGATTTTAGGCTTTAGTTTTTAAATAATTTTTGGCAAACATTAATTTTGTGAAGGTAATTTATGTTTAAGTTTTTTTCTTTAATGAAAAATATGAAATGAGAAAAAAACTTTTTTTATTACTGCAAAAAAAATCGTTTTGGTACTCCCAAAACGTTTTAGGACATTTTTGGTAGGGGGAAAAATATGTGGGTGGTAACACTGGTTTTAATCCATATTCCGTTTAACTACAGGCCAAGCACCTCAATTTTAGACCGTATTATATATGTAGCCAGTCGGAATTTAATAGCTTTTATTCGATATTTTTAAGAATAGAAAAAAAATTAAGATATATTTACATATGTCTTCCGCTAGTTTTTGGCAGCATTTACAATGCCAGCTTGGTGTAGGGAATGCCATTTGTTAACTGTTCTTCTGTCTATAATATAAGATTGAAGCACAGTTTCGGATTCATAATAATAATTTAAAGGTTTCTGAGCTTCGAGTGCAACTACTTAAGTATTAAAACTTCACTCCAAGCAGATAAGTAAACAAAATTACAAAAAAAACAATCTCAACTCCAAGTTGATATTGTAAACGCACCTCAAAAGTCAATTTTGTTCGGCGATGATAAGAAAGTTTAATTTTTTTTATACAAGCATTTCGTTACCACAATATAGAAAGGCCCTATCTAACATCGTCGCTGAAATGCAAAACAGCCGTAACTAACAAAAATTATTTATTGCATCAATCGTTGTAGGGATTCATAATTCGATGAAATGCATCACAATCAATCAAAAAATGAATTTTGAAATTTCAATTAGTTACGGCTTGTTGTATTTCAGCGACGATGTGAGATAGGGTCTTTCTATATTAATGTGACGATATGTAGTTATTTACATATACATATTTATACATACATGCAAGTAAATACATATATCGCAAAACAATCGCAATCGTAACATTCCACTGCAAGCAAAAACAGCTGTGTGCAAAATACACTCTGACTATTTATGTTTAACAATTGATAAGGCTGTGTTGCTAAATCAAGAAGGAAAATTTCATTAACTTTGCACACGGCGATGACGCTATAACTTAGCTTATAGTAATTGATCCATAGTATGTATGTTTTTACATATGTTTGTATGCACTTGCTTAGTATATCTATAAAAAGTTTTCGATTTTCAGTGAACAACAGTCAGGCATCGCAAGTTGAGAAAATACCAAACAAAAAAATTTACCATTTTACTGCAAAAATTCTAACTAAGAATTAATAAACAAAATGGTCTGTAAGCAATGCATAGATGGTAGGTTCCTTATTAACATAATATGTGCATATGCCAAAAAACTACTTCCATTCAACATTTTTTCCTTTCGAAACGCTTGATTGCCAATATGTATTTTTAACAGTTTTTTTATATTTTATTTTAACTACAGCGTGCCGATGCACCAGCACTAAGTGCGGCGACACACACATCGTCACGGGCATGATAATGCTTTATAGAGTGCAGTTTCCATGCACCCAGAGATGACGCAAAGATCTTTCGCTGAGTTCTTGTTTACTATATGCGTAAACGTTTATAAATTTGTAAACTCAAAAGATTTGCAGTAGCACTTTGCGCATTTTGGAAAAAACATCTTTTAAATACGGTATGCCATCAAATTCTTTTTCATAAATGCATCGTGTTAGAAAAAAATATGATCAAAGCAGGTTCAGTATTTTTTTTTTTCCGCAGCGTTACAAGCATTTCCCATAACATATATTTTTATATAAATATATAATTAGTATAGATGTAGATGTCGATTTTTAGTGGTTTCAATACTCCATTTGATGTTTTTTATTGTATTGTATTGAAATCACCTAATGTTATGTAAATTATATGGGTGCAACAGAAACAAGAGCGCTGCGACCTAGAAAATCTATGATGGTTCCTTACCCTATCGGCCAAAGATGTTATTTATCAGCTAATAAAAGCTAAAAATTTCTTGGTAGATGAATTCCTAACTTTAAGGGCATTGACTGTGGAAGAAATGAAGTATTGTTGTCTTATTTAGGCCCAATTTCAGATGAGCTGAGTAGGTATTATTGACTAACTTCAAAAATTCATTTTCAGATCATCTATGTAAACTGCACTTAAATGGCTATTGAATTATGACATAATCAACCCTCTGTTTATACCTAACAAAAATCAGCTGTTCAGTACAAAATGAAAACAAGCAAACAAGTCCAACAACAATTTTAAGAAACGAACAACAGTTTTGCTACTTATTTGGCATATTTTAATAAAGGTGATCTGAAACCCAAACGAAAGTGGAATTGCATTTAAATAATAATCCAAAATTAAACGTGAATGCCATTTAAATGTCTATCTGAAATTGGCCCTTAGTCTGGCTAATGAATAACGTCTGCTCGTCTTCAAGACGAAGACGGCAATCCGTCTCTGTAGAAAGACCAATCCGGTGCACGTGAGAGCGCACGTGATTATGGCCGGTTAGATAACCAATAAGCAACTTGATGCTGGCTCTGTTTAAGAGATTCATATCTTTCCTAGCAAAAGGATAACCAAAAAGGCTGTACTTACTGTGTTCTGAGTTTACACATAATTCGATTATGAGCCTCGAGGAGGCGCAACTGAGTCCACAAAACAGATTCGCCCACAAGTACAGACCATAAGCTCTCCCTAGCCATTTCATCGGCGGTCTCGTTACCAACGATGCCGCAGCATCCGGCATAGCAATACCGTATTCCTGATGCCAAAAGTTGAATGATGTCAAAGTACTCCTTAATGAGCCCGGAGGTGATAGTCCTATGCCCGCCTGGCTATCAAGGTTCATTCCGGCACAAATTGCTCTGCCTTCCATCTTTGATCCGTCTGTGTACCATTTTGGATTTTCAGATTTATCGAAGCTGCTTCTGCTTGGACAAAATGATGGCGTGGTGTCCAACCTAGGAGGGACTTTAAGGCCGCAGTTGAATACGTATTTAAAAGATAGAAAGCAGCGAAAAGTAGGCGTAGATTTTAAACCGTTGTAAGCGCAACAAATCGATGCAGTAATTTCCTGCAGGCTACTTGCTCGTGTTTCCGTGTTTCCTAATATCCAATTGCAACGCGCATCTCTTCCATGGCATATTTCATTGGTGTACATTTGTAGGCAGTAGCGCATATTGTAAAACATAGAACATATATGTAGTATGTATGTAAATATGTCTCACCACCTAACACGCGAATCTTGGAAGTAGCGCTATGCTACATAAACTGATGCGACAGTGGCATGTCGTGCCACCAATGCAAAGGCACGGTGGCAATTTTATTTCGCATTAAGAGATTAAAATCGAAATTAAAATTTAAATTAAACGTTTGCGCACAAAATAATTTCAACCCTCGAGGAGAAAGGGCACTTGTGGCAGCTACGTTCATAGAAACATAGTACATTAGATATACATACATACATACATATGTACATAGATATGTACCGGAGGCAAAGCAACACAACAACTCTGGACGTGGTGTAAATTGCATAGCATCCTTGATATGGCGGCATTTTAAATTTTTTTCTTTTACATTTTGTTAAAGTGAATGAATTGAGAGAGAAAAAGTAATGGCTAATTAAAGTTGCTGCAAGAAAAATGGTACTTATTAGATTTTTCATGCTAATAAGAGTTTTAAATGAGCTTTAGTTACTATATTTGGACATTCTTGGTACGGTGGTCATTAAAATATCAACATAAGAATATTGTATGCGGACCGCTCTATTTCGTTCTACGTACAACCACATCACAAAAAATTAAAATTTCCAAATTTTAGACAAATTTGTAGGGGTTGCACCAGGGTTTGAAAAGTTTTAAATTTTATTAATTTTTTTTGATGAAATTTGATAAGTTTTACATATTATTTAAACTTATTCATATAAAATATAAAATATATTTGAGGAGAGTTGCCACCTGGTTGAAAGTTTTAATTTGGCTTATGTAATGGATAAGGTAAATTAAATATTACAGTTTAGGAATCAAACTAAAGGGGTTTAAGAAAGTTTACTGTCGAAAATAGTTTTGAGAAGGGTTGCCATCTATTTAAAAATTTTAATTGGATGCAATTGAAGAACAAAATATTACAATATGGCTGTCAGACGAAAGGTGTTTGAAACATCTTTGAGTTAAAAATATTTTCTATTGAATTGTCTAGATTGTAAAAATTAAAAATATTAAAATTAAATGAAATACTAAAAGATTAGTACCAAAAAATTGTTTAAGAAAGGTTTAATGGACAATCTTCTGAAGCATGAAAAAATCTAAATTTTTTATTTTTGTATAATATGTATTTCTTTATTGAATCTTTCTTTCGAAACTAATAACAAAAAATTTTAATGAGGAAAAAATTTACAACATATTATCAAAATAGCGGCGTGCTTCGCTGCAACTTCAAAGTATTTTACAACGCTTTTATCAACTTGCAATGTTGTGTTCCAGAAACTTTCAATGTTGTGTTCCAGAAGCTTTCAATGTTGTGTGTCCGACACCATAAAGCAAAGCTTTGAAAAGCTCCTATAAAAAA